ATTTGCTTTATCCTTTATCTCAAAGGAAGCTTGCAGCCTTATTAATCAGCAAAAGATTGTTTGCCCTGGAGTTATTTTAAAATAATGYCTACAATAAGTCAATGTACCTTACTAACTGATCAGTGAGGTGTTGTATGTATATTAAAAAAAAAATAGTATTTACAAATGATTGCATTAAAGAATATACAAGGGAATTGCCAAGTCTGTGTCTTGCTATATAGCTTCAGTTAACAGTCATGGCAGAGGTATAAAAGTGAATTGAGGCCCAGAATTAGCATAAGCTTAAGAAAAGAGCCTCGTAAGTAGAAGCAGCATAAGATATGAAAATGGGGAAAAATAAGGCAAGTCCATATAAAAGAGCAGCTAGGGAGCCATGTCTAATAATGAGTTGAAATGTAGCTCATCTTAATAATGAAGTAGAAGGTTAGTGAAAAACCTGACTTGCTCACTTTCTAGTGCATGTAAATTAGGCTGCCAGGACAGATGGTTTTCTCTTCCCTATTTCCTGGTGGGGAGGCGAACAGGAAAGATGGGGCAACCTCTTTCATTAATAAAACAAGGTATGAAGTCAGTGAGTGAATTGGGGCAGGGGGGTGGTGGTGGTGGGGAATACCCAGCACTAACTTTTAAGGAAAAAATGTCTAGAAGGATAAAACAGGCACCACAAGATTAAGATGAGTTATAGTCAATAAATAAATCTCTATATTTTCTATGTGCTTTGCTGAGTGTAATATTCATGTACCAAATGAATGGGTGTGAAAATATTAGCTCTGATCGGAATAAATGGACTTGCCTAAAATGTGCTGAAATGTTGCTGCTTTGCCTGAAGAGATATGCTTCCTTTAAACACCAGGTGCTTTTGGCAGTATTTGATTATTTGTGTTTAAGTGGAAATTCACTACAAGTAGTGTATTTTAGTGGATTTTAAGTATTTTTGCAATAATGAAAATTTAAGACAGCTTGAATCTAAAAATTATAAACTGAAAGTTTGAGTTTTGGSTATGTTTTTGTCTCAGTGGTCTCTCAGCCTGTCAGTCTACAGTGTTTCAGTGAACTCTTCCGATGCTCACCATTTGTAGTAGAAATTGTAGTATTGTATTTCATCTATGAATATTTGTTTAAAGTATTGTGCCCCATCATATCTTGTTCTTAATAGGGCGAAATATGAAGAGGATAGACTTATATTCAAATTTTATCAACCTCACTGTTTGTTCATTTGAATAGCAGCAGAAACTTCTCCAGGAATATACAGTGTTTGCTTTTTGTCTATATTCATTATTATTTAAGTGATAGTACCCCATTTCATATCATTCAATATAGGGACACTTGTGAAAAAGACATTACTTTGTCCTGGGAGCTTGTATATTGTGTTTTATTTGTAGGTTCGGGGAATAATACAGTATTACCAACTTTGTGCTTGCTGTTGCTCAGRGGAAATGCCTAATACCTTTTATTGCTGAGAGACATTCTGAGTGCTCCAAAGTATGATGCATAGTGCCGATGAGTACAATTTTCATTATCTGAACTATAGGAAGTCTTATATCAAAAGAAAATCTCAACAGCTTCTTGGTTATTTTATTRCAATATGCACAGATGATCCAGTATAGTATCTTTGTTACCCGAAATCCAATAGAAATTAAATGAGATSGCAATGTGGCTAGGAAATAATCAATAACGAGCTCTGATTTGTTGCTGTAGTCTTAGTTTAATGTCTTGATACTCAGATATTTACAACATATAAAACAAACTTAGGAAAATGTGGAACAAGGCCAAGAAAGTTCAGCACCTTTTTAATGTCCAAATGCTCCATTAAATTAAATAGGAGCATTATAAGGGGCTAGTGTTAGATAAAAATCTGATTACTATTGGCTGTGTGCTGATAGCAGTAAAAGGAAATGTAAACAAAATGCCATGATATAAAATATGGAATTTACTAGCGGATCTTATTTACTTATCCAGTTACTTCCGTTATAATGACTGTAGTGATCCCTCTGGTAAGCTTTCATACCTTTATTTATTGTCAACTCTTGGAGACTTAATAGCCGTAGTGCTGCCAAAATAAAGATGTGCTTTTTATATTGCTATTTATAATTCCTGGGTGTCAAGAGAAGGAGAAAAGGAAAGAAAGGATAAAGCCTGTGCTTTCCTAAAGCCTCTATTCCCTCCTCAGGCCTTGTAGAATTTATACAAGGGAATATGAAAGGTTTATATGTGGAGAGACAGACAAGACCTTCCCTTTTTTTAATAGCTTTCATTCAATATCATGAGGAGTAAGCCCATTGGCACAAATAGTCGTGGAGACAATTTTTGGAATTGGAAAAAGTGCATTAAAAGCTCACTCAAAGCAGATGTCATCAGATGTCAAAGTATTTCATTCTAAAAAATTATGTTCTACTTAGAGGATGGAAATGTGTGCATAAGTTATGGGATGAGTGAAATAAAGAGTTGTCCAGTCTATTGTCCATGAATTTCTCATGAAATTTTGATGAATAACTAAATCTTGAGTAAAATGGCCCAAAGAACCATTTTTATGTGGACGTGTACAGGTAATTTGTGTAACATTCTAACCTCTCAAATGTCCTGAAATGGGTCTTCTGGGCCTGTATTTAGCCAAATTATGTTTTATTGTACTGGAGAACTGTTCCTAGTGGCAGTTTGACTCTCTTATTGCAAACCAATGCTTTGCATTGACTCTTTTCCTGTTTGAGACTCCTTATCAGAGCTCACTGCCTTCCATGCCTGTTGTTTCAATGATCTGTGGCTGATTTTCATTTGTATTTTGTAAGCATTCTTTCTCTCATCCACCAAACTAGCTCCAAATGTGACCTCTGTTGTGCTCCCATTCTGCCTGTCATTTATTATGGCAGGACATAATATAAACTTGTAATATGACATACATAAGCCAAGAAGCCTTTAAGGGTTGGTTCCCTGGGCAAACTCTATKAGGAATTATAAAGGACATGATGTGACTTAGGATCCCCAGCTTGTGGGTTTTTTGCTAGTCCTTAGCCTAACTGRAAGCAGTTGCAAGTTCAGCTTAGCCTGTTTGTCTTACAGCAGCCTATTTACTCACGTTATCCCAGTCTGCCACTTGTAACAAGYCTCATGCTTAACTAACATATGAGTTGCTATAATTTGGAGGTGTTCACCATAACTTGCACTAACAACTGCATAGTTCCCTCTTGCCTGTGGTTAAATCTACTTTATGTAGTTGGATGCTGACATGTTCCATGAAAATGGTGTAGGTCAATGTTGCTGAGATCAAAACGAGTGTTTGCTTAGCATTTTTAAAAATCACATTTGAGCCCACATTTTCATTACTAAATTTCACAGTGTGTGTGAAGTAAATATGCAAAATGCTTTTCTAGTGTAGCATTTGTTTCTAGGTATCCCCGTGAAGAAGGGAAGCAAGCTCGGGAATGGTAAAATCATAATTGTCAAAGGGCTTTTGAAACAGTCTTCAGCGGATGGAAAGTCTCCAAAATTTAGAATACAGACATGTCTGGAGCTCAGCAGAAACACAGAAGGCTGTTAGGCCTTTCTTCCTAATCGTTTACCTTTATGTAACTCTGTACTTGAATTGACATTGGGGAAATGAAAGATGAATCGAATGCGTTTTCTGCCTTTTCATCAAAGCAGGCCTGTGGCAAATCAAGCGTGGGCCTTCTTGACCCATTTCCACTTGCAAGTAGCATCTTCAGGCAATGACTTCATGCCAGTAATACTTCAATGAATGCCAAGCTGAGGAAAAACTGTGATGTTCTGGAACATGATTAAGAAGTTTCTTTGATTTCCCGTGTCTTTAAGTTCACTGAAACACTGGAAAGAGACCAAAAAGCACTGATACAGAGCTGGTGAGCTACAAATCACAGTTTCCATCGCTATCAAATTTTAAGACTCAATCGAGACTATTTGAAGCCTCCTTTTGGAGAAAATGCAGCTTCAGAAGGACAGGAGTCAGGATAGAAACTTGGAGAAGAGATTTCTGGTTTAGGAAATCCGCCCTGTAGGAGGGTGGTGTGAGCGAGGAGGTAATTTATTTTTTTCTGTAACAGACGCAAAAATGTCCTAATGCTTCATGTTAACTAACAGATGGGAACTGTGCCATTCAGTTTTAGAAAACATGCCAAACTCTATGGACTTAAGGAGCCTGGTCAAAAATGGCTAAAGTTTTGACATTTCTTATGAATAGTAGGGAGTAAAAATATGTAAGATGTTTAAGTTGGGCTTTGTTGATKAATTGCCACTTGGCAATAGGTGGTTGCTTTTATTCAGGTTGTATCTGTAAAGTTTTGCACAAGCCAGGATTATATGTTGCATAATGGAGTTCGTGTAAGTATCTTAGATTGATCTTTATTGATATGCTGCAGGGTCAAGCACTATTTGCAAATCTTGATGCAGAGATTTATGTTGGCATAGGATTCTATAATTGTATTTTTAATGGGAAGTAGCTCGGATGATTGTAAAACCAAGCTTTCCACTAGGTGGCAAAGAGAGACTGATTTGCAGTGTTTTGCTGAAGGGATAGAGAAGGTTGAAAAGCAGTCAGCTGTAGAGCCAGGCTTGCGAAAATGTAAGGTGTGCTCCAGATCTAGCCTTTGGGAGGGAAGCTGCCTTTTAATAGCTACAGTCCTGAGTGACTGCAAAGAACAGCTTGACTGAGGTAGTCTAGGCTCAGAGCTGCCTGCGTGTGGGKAAAGCCATCTAATATCAGCTTGGCCCTTTTACTAACCTGTTTGACAAGTATTTACTCCTCCAAATCATTTCTTGGCTTATATTCTGGGCTTTAGAGTATCACATGGTTGCGATCAGCTCAATTGCATTGCCAAAGCAGTAAGTGTTTTAAAGTGATAGTTAATGGAGAAATGCCACTTGCCACACTACAGGCTATTGTAAACAGGAACCATCTCTGCTGYAATTATTGGAGTTACCATAGAAATCTATTATTGCAGGCAGAGCAGTATATAATCGTGTTCTTTTCTAGGCTGGACCTGCCAGGTACCTGCTTGACCTTAAAGGTTGTGTTCTGGGAGTCTGAAGTGGAAACTTTCACGACAAAATTAGCAGAGAAGGATGTGTACCAACTCGAAACAGACAGATATATATGGGTTGCAGGTATGGTGATCGTTACACTATTAATTATAAAAGAAAAGCTATATTGAATAGTTTATATTTGTTGTCAGCATCTGGGTGTATGTGCACACTGTAGTGCTGTTCTTTCTAGATTTGGGGGAAAAAAAATAGCTTCTCTGGAATGAAAATAATGAACCTTTGTGGAATGTAAATACAAAGCAACTGTTTGCATGGTTAAATGTTTTTTCCATAATTCAGTTTGTTTTCAATATCTTTTTTTTTTGCAAAATAATATTTATGCTCATGGAACTTCACAGGGAATAATAGCAACTGTTCTATCTATTTTCTCCAGACTTTTTATTGTGAAAAATAATTTTACTTATTTAGTGAACTCTGTCCCCATCGATTGTAGAAAGAATTTGCAAGAGTCTTTTATTCACTAACTACATGCTATTTGGAACAAATTTTGAGCTGCAACTTTTCCGTACAATGTGCTTTGCATCTCTTGGAGAAAGATAAAAATTTTGGGTCGATAGTATGCCAAGAATAATTAAGTTGAGAATAGAAGAGGRGGGTGTTTGGACAGGGGCACTGGAGATGAGAGAGAATATGAAGGATGGCACGAAGAAAGGAAAACAGTTGTCAACAGGTCTACATAGAATTTTTCAAATGAATATGTAGAGTTTGATACTGACCTGGGAAGTGGCTTGAAAGCCTTTGAAGATACTCGAAGGTGAAAAGATTTGATAGGAAGGGAAGAGGTTAMAATTTAAAGTAAAGGAAGTAACGAGAAAAGGCAAGAGATTTCAGCAGTTAAGGTACTAGATGATACAGCTAGAATATAGAATTTGGTAAGGGAGGAAGAGGGAAAAACTACTATTACAATTCTTGAGTTAAAAAATGTTTCACTGGAAACAATGTGCAAGTGGAAGCTAAAACTCAAGGACAAAATTCTCTGTGAACAAAGAAAATTTTTTTGCTGAAGAACTCTCTGAAATGCCATGTAGAATTAACACAATAGCTTTGATTCTGTTGTGACAAAGAAAGTATGGTTATAATAAAAGAGGTTTATTTTGGAAAGGCAATCTCAATTTTTCTTGCCAGATAGAGAGGGAAAATGTGCTCTTGGCTTCCCACTGCTATCTGAGCATCCAAGAGAAGTGAACTAATCAGAGAAACCTTAAAATAACAATAATAAAGCCTGCGTGAAAACTAATTGTTTTTTTTTATGTCATGGGGCTTTGAGTAATATCATGTATCATTCATCTGGATTCAACAGTATTAAATTCTCYACTTTTTTCTATGAGGATAGTTTGAAAAATATCTCTTCTATATGAAAGTATGAACTGCTTTTTAAAATAAGCTCATTTATTTTATGGAGGCTTCTTTCATGTCTCTATTGATTGTTAGTCTCTTTTATTTATAGTCCATCCAAGTTGTTAATTCATTCTTAAAGTTTTCTTGTGTCTGGGAAAACTATTTCTGTTTGTTCTTTTATAAGCCAATTCTTCACTTATTTTAAATGCTCTTTTACTCACTTTAATGTGATTTGGTCCGCTGAAGAACTGAAAACTCAAACAGTGAGCACAGCAATATGCTTTATACTTGTTCAGAGCAACTCATGCATTGGAAAATAACTGAGGTCCAAATGGAACACTTTGGAAGAACAGTAAGATGATTTAAAAAAAGAAATCYCTTTCAACCCAAAAACAAAACCAAAAATTCCATTGATCTCCATGGTACCAATTGTAAAACATGGCTATAGATGATGCATATATATATATATATGTAGTGCTGAYGATATCCTTTGCCTTACAAAATATTAAGTAACTTAGAATCTAACAGACTTAACTACATAGTTTTTGAATCGCTTAGTCAAAGAGCTTTCTGGGTCTTTAGTATTGATTTACTGATCTCTTAGTTTTGGAAAACAAGGGAGTTTTCTAGAATCAAAACTAATTCAATTATGTCTGTTTGTTTTAGCTTGCAGAGCAGTCATTTCACAATGGGGCTGCTGGCGTGAAAGTGATGCCTGGCAAAGTAATGGATGTATTGATACAGACCTCTATTGGTAAGGGATAATTGTGCAATTAAAGCATATTTTGTGAGAAGGTCTCTTTAATCAAGTTGAAAATGTCACCAAAGTTAAAAGGCTAAAAGTCAAGGGAGATGAAGTTGATGTATATTTTAAGTTATGAGACTGATGAATAATAGGAACAGTTTACCAAGCATTGGGATGCTTTTTCATCACAGGCAAGTGTTAAGATCAAGACTGATTATACTTCTCAAAGAAAACAYCTAGTTCAAGCCTAGCTCTTTGCACAGCTGTAATTAGTCTATAAAAATCAGCTACYGCTAAACAGAATGTGAGGTTATGTAGTTAAAATGTGGGTTTGTTTTGTTTCTTTTCCCCTAGGTTTAAAAGCACTGTGATGTATGAAATAGAAGCATTGCAGCAACTAGGAGGGAACTTGGTCATTCAGCCTTCTTGTACTCATATAAGTATATATACAGTAAGCTATAATTGTGCCTCTGTTTATTTTTATGACAGTTCTTGTACATTGGAGACATTTTAAGTGGTGAGGGTCTGTGTTTGAAGAGGAACATGGGGTTTTTTCCTTAGAGAAGTTTGGTCTGGTGGCCTTCCAGGGTTTGCTTTACATGTTTTCACAGCCAGTAATGAAATACTGTTTTTGAAGGGAGCTGGGCTAGGTTACAGTTTGTCAGAAATTGTCTTCTCAAGTTTGGACTCCAAAATAATTATTATTAATGATGCAGGAAGTAAAATGAACACAGGCTCACTTTCTGATTTGGGAGCTGTGTAAGACCGGGATGCTGTTTAGAAAAATAATCTTTTGCAGGGCAAACCTCCCTTATTTGATACGGAGTCACTGAGGGAGAATAAAAACAGCGAACCCAACTAAATAATTTCTGACACAGTGCTTTTCTTCCTCTAAGCATATTTTAGAGCTAAAACTTTTCTTTGTTATGCTGTTCAAGTACTACTGCATTTGAAATGACACTAAGCTGTTTACTGTCAAGGCAATAGGCAAAAGGCAAAAGATGTTAATGTCTCCTAGCACGTCTTTGGATATCCTTGCACAGCTACTGAGGTGCCCTGAGTGTGCATTAGGGCACTTAGGTTGAGCCCTTAAATTTCAAGTCCTCATTATTTCCATGCAAGGTGTAAGGATGCCTGTTTACTTAACTCTGTGCTTCAGATTCCTGTTCAAGTAATGACATTCCAGTACCCAATCCTGAAGTGAGTCTAATCCTTTCACCTCTGAGCTGGTCATCTGCTCATCTTAAAAAGCTAGTCTTGTCATAAGTGTATAGAGCATGATTTTGGAGGAAGCATCACAAAAATATACGTTATAAGCCAGCAGATTGTAAGAGTTGGATATAAAATATTAGTGTATTACAAATGCATATGCAATTAATTAGTATAAGACAGTAGACTAATGATCATTTAGGATGCAATTAGTATTAATTCCTTTGCACCTGGAGCACTTAGAAGCTGCACGGAAAAGAATAAATGCTTAATATTGTGAACTCTGCTCTCTTGCAACTGAATATTACATGTTGTTTAAAAGGGGTTTCCGTGTTTTTRTATATATAAATGTTAAACACTATTATGGTAAGCCAGTACATGGCAGCGTTATTGAATGGATCTAAAATGCATTGTTATAAGGCCCATTCAGAAAAGTATTCCATTTTTTCCAGTTTTAGTGAGTGATCTCAGCTCCCCTATGGRGAGATTTAAGACTCAAGGAATTTGGAATGCAATTAAAGCTCATTGTGTGTAGGGAGTGAAATTCATCCCTGTACAYTAATGTATGATATATTTTTATATGGATACTAGCATTAAGAAGGTAGTTGCTACATACTGAGAGCAAGATTCACCCTTGAAGAATTAAGAATAGCCCATTCAAAGGTGCTGTTCAGGAATTTCTTTAGCATTTATGCCTCAAAAGCCACRTATAAGAAGTCCCAACTTTCTAAAGTGTCAAATGCCAGGATCTCTTAATGATGTTACCAGGAGCAGTGGTTGCTTGTCAAAACCTTTAAAACCAAAGCCCTTTGCTTGAAGGACATAGCTTTGCATGGATTTGGAATTTGTTTGTGAGAAATGGAAATTTGCGTAGATGATGTGTCCAGTGTCCAGTAGCTGGACAGTGTTTTAAAGCAATTGCATGTGACCACGGAGAAGTCAACTCGCTACTTGTGATTTTTCTTTTGTTTTTCCTTGTATGTAGGAAGGCAGAATGGCGAGCGATGCTGAATGTTAGTGTGAAAACTAGAGAGGTCAGTGTTTCAATCTCTAATCCAAAAGCAGTATTTTTATAAAAATTGAAAATAATCTGACTTATCCCATCCACAAATGGAAAAAACATTCTGGTAATTAAATCTTGTTTTACATGATGGTAAATTTACTGTATTATTATTAAAGAATTAAATGGAGTTATAAATCTTGCAAAGCAAAGGGTAAGGGAAGTCCTGTGATAAAGCCTTAACAGCAGCAGCACTGGCAGGTAACACTATTTCTGGGCATTGCAAGAGCCTTGATCAGTTTACTGTCAAGGGACAGAGGCTAACTGCAGTATATCCTTAAAGATGAGGGGTCAGCAAGTGACTTTGAGTTCTTCTAAACATTTTTAGAGCAATTATGTTAATATGTGTTCCTAAGCAGCAAAAATCTGACAGTTTCATTTATCCTTTCTAAAACTATGTTAAAGAGCACTCATTGTATATTAATGATAGGGAAGTKATGAGCTATTCAGCAAGATCTTAAACCTCAATGAAGAAGAGGTTTAATCGTGTGAATATGACTTAAGTAGCATAATCCCTAAATCTTCCCTATTACTTTCCTTAAYTGAAAGGGATTAAAAACGTGAGAGAAGATGGACAATGTGGCAGGATGTAGGGCCCTATGTTATATCATATTTCCAACTTCCTTGGGTTGTAGGTAGCTGTAGTGCAGGCAGACTTTTCCCAAATGAAAATACACTGATCTTGCACTGGAAGCTCTAACTACATTTAAGGACTTGTTATAACTCCCAGGGAGTCGTTAAAAATGTTTTAAACTCCTTGAAATTCTGGATATTTTACAATGTGTAATTAATAATCCATAAATTTAATCTTCACTCTTCTCTAGTTTCAAGAGAGGCAAGCTGTTCAATGTAAGAACAACAAAACCGTCAAAAATAAGTGCTGAACATCTGTTATGAAGAGTATGTGGGCAGTCACAGTGTAAATTCTATTTAGTTCAACTACATACGTTTCAAATAATATATTAGCTCACAGGCTTTTGTTTAAGCCAGCTATTTAAAACTTAGCTGGCTATTAAAACTTAGCCCATTTTCACATGGCTCCCAATTCTGCTGTCCCACCTTYCAGGATCAGACCAACTTGGCAAGTGGTTCCCCCTCTCTTCCTGGTTGAGCAGGACTTGAATTGGAAGCCCTTGTGCCTGACCGAGGGGAAAATGGGATAAGATCCCTGGCAGTCCCTGGCTGTGAGATTTGCCACGCTTTCCTTTGTCTCTTTAAAAAGGACCCACTGCTCAGCTTGGGTAAATCCCCAGCCTCCAGCTGGGCAGAGAGTTCCTCTTGGCCCTCCAACTCTGGCCTTGAGCGTGTAGGAACCTCCTCTTCATCCAGCATCCCACCAAACGCCCGCCTGCTCTGATGCAAATCTGGGAGCCACCAGRTGATTTTTCAAGTACAGCACATCTCCCCTTTCAATAAGAAGGGGAGAGAAAGGCGCACTCTRAAAGGAGAAATAACAGCTGAGAGCATTGTTCACTTGAACAATGAATTACAGAAGCCTGTACATGTTCATTATAGGTTTTCACATCACTGTTCTTGGAGCATTTCCACCATTTTGTTTCCAATGACAGACACTTGTCAAGTTTAGACAAAATCTAATCCCTGTTCCAATGGGAGCGGCTAATTCTACAGAATTAGACAGTCTCTAATGCCTTTGTTGGCACTTTCTATAGTGAGATCCAATACCCAATAGGCTTGAAGAAGTGTATTTTCTGTCCTTTTCAGAATAGCTGTTTCCGATCAGGGCTGGCTTGCTGTAGTGGAAAAGAAAACAGGTCTGGGATCTGCCTATGAAGTGGCAATCCTCTGGGTGAAATTAAAAAAAAAAAGTGCCTTCAAGGCCATCAGTCCAATGTCATCAGTAAGCATTTCAGTTTCTTTTTTAAACAAGTAATAAAGAATAAAACTGTTTCTACTGTTAATAAATTCCTTGCTATCTTCAGCTTTACAGGTTTCTYGGTGAGAGCGATAACCAAGGAACCTGCCAGACAATGGTGTGCAGAAATTGCCTGCCGCTTCTGCCGGCGAGGCAAAGATACTGTACATCATATCTTTGAGTCACATAACTGCTAAATGTAACTTGGCATTACTACCTCATTCATCAGCAGGATGTCTTTAATTATGGAGCCGGAAGATTAATTTCCAATGCCTAGAGAATGGCCCAGTTTTCAGCAGAAGCATTGTGTGAAACGATCAATGCAGCAATGAAGAAATCATTGTAAGTAACCCCCAAATCTTATTTTGATCCAAGAAAAAAATGCAAAGATTATAACATGAAGAGCAACTATTTTCATCCCTATAGGTTGTTGGATTTAATAAGATTTAATGGTATTAAGTGTTACTGCATTGTTTAGCCATTGTACTTAATGCCTAGTTCATTAATATACTAGGCTTTTTGTTTACTGAACAAAGAGCGTAGGATATTAAGATATGTTAAGAACTGTATATGATGATTTTCTTTCTTGACTAAAATCCTACAGACCTAGGGGATTTTTCTCAAAGTGTTTAACTGAGGATTTATCTTTCCTCTTTGTGAATCCCCAGTGAAAGCAGAACAAAACTTGGTCAGCAGTAGGACACCATGCGTTTGAGAATCAGCTGCAGTGACTTGGTCCTTCTGCCTGATCCTGTCCAAGGCTAGATGTCTGGAAAGAAAGTAAAAATAAGAACTCTGATGAAAACATGTAAGAGCTACGTCCCCAGGTGAGAGGTGCTTGGCGTAGGAAAAGTGTTTCTTTACTTTTTTCCTTTTAAAAAAATAAAGTAACAGTAAAGACTGTCAGGGTTCAGCAAAACATCTTGCGTGTCTCTCTGGATGATTCTAGTCATTCGAACATGCTCTGTTCTTGAATCTAACTTGGGATAGTCTTTTTGTTATGGTAATGCAGTTCTGGACAGAGTGATGTTGTCCTCAATATCCTACTGCCACCTGAGTTTACCTAGTCTGAGTTTTTTTCCATTATATAATTACAGTCTTTCAAGAATCATTTGCATTTGACTTTATCCTTAAGTCTAGACCCTCAGTCTTTTATTGGACTTGGCTCTCTGTAAACATCTAGTAATCCCTTCAAGTTGAGAATGACTTCATAGTGTCAATAAATTGCTGAATCCCCCATGTATCTGCAGAAGTGTCTGCAGGATAGGAGACCTGACTGTTTGTATACMGT